GCCTGCAGTGGCTCAGGCCAGAATCCAGGGGTGCTAGAACATGCCTCCTACCCTGCCAGCCAATGCCAAAGGAAAGGGGGACTGAAACTCCAAGGCTATCCCCACCCACACTCCAGCTCCAGCAGAGGGGACATGGCCATGCCTCCTGCTCTCCACTCGAGCAGGGAGTGGGGCATGAAGTGGGGGGGCAACAGACTGGAAGGAACTGCCTGCCCCCTCCCCAGGCAAACCCCAGCTGGGGTCCAGGGCCTAGGAATGGGCTTTAAACCCCCTTCCCCAGCTCAGAGTGCTGGCCCTGGGCACAGATGTATCCCTTTACATAAAGCCATAAGGGGCAGTGGCGCCTGCAGGCAGCACTGCAAGGGCCAACTCAGGGAACACTGGAAAATTTGGGACATGTCACAGAAAGCCCCACTCTGTTTGGACAGAGCAGTGATTAGAGGGGGGGGGGGGGGGGGGGGGGGCGGACAGAAGTTCCATAAACCGGTTTAGCTCAATCAGTTAAGTCTGATACTGCATTCAACCAGGTTTATCTCAAACCGGTTTTGTCCATTTTGAATCTGGTTTATGTGCACTGAACTTATGTTCTGTTACAGGTTTAAACCAATTTCTGAAGCCTTAAACCAGTTTATGTGCAACTTCTATTCCTAGCCTACTTGTGCTGGTCACAGTACACATATAAGCAAGTCCTGCAAAGAAACTGCAGTCTCAGTGCATGACTAACTGAAGGAGCAAACAAAGGAAGACTGGGGTAAGATAAGTGTAATACAAAATGCGTGTTACAAGAGCAGTGTCTAGAGAACTGAGAACCTGAGCAGTGAGGTCCACCAATGAATTACCCTGCTTGTGCATACTAACTCTTGTGGTAGGGGATTTGTGCACTGAACAACCACTAAGCCACAGCTGTTCAACTGGAGGTCTGCATGACATATTCAGCCCATAAGAGTTTAATTTGTGACCCAGGGCTCCCAACTGGCCACTGCTCTCCCCATCACTCCAGCTGGAGCTGCAGTTGGGGTTTCTAGGCTCCCCCTCCTCTACTGCATGGCACCCCTGGAACCTGGCTCCCCCTCCTCTATTGCATGGCACCCCTGGAACCTGGCTTCCACTTCCTGCCCCTCCTCTGGGAGTGGCATGGAATTGTATAGCCCATGGTGGATCAGAGAAACCTGTGGTCAGGGCACAGCCTGCAAGTGTAGTGCAGCACTGAAGGAGAGAGGCTCCCATGCAGCATATGGCCTGGGCAGGCTGTGGGTCATGCTGGCTGGCTCATACTGGCTGTAGGTCATGCAGCATGTCACCCCCGGCTACTTAGAAATTGGACAACCCTATACCAGGTATATATATATACACACCACTTCCCCATGTACGTTTTGTAGCAGAAGCCACAGATCTACTTCCCAAGCAGTCAGGCAAGGGCCACCTCAACATTTGCAGTAACTGTCTGTAGAAGACTTGACCCTGTGAAGTTTTGTCTTCAAAGGTTTAAAAGTAGCTTAGCCATGCCTTTCTCCAAAACACAACTATTTGATACAATCTGCTGCCCAAATGCAATAAGACCTGAATAAATAGATCCCACGACAAATAGACTGCAATTTATTGTGTACAAAATAAAATAATCCACCCCACGGGCTCAATTTTTAAGTCTTCAATCTCTGTACAGATTTGTTCTTGTATTGTTTAGCTAGTGAGGACAGTTTCTCTCTGTACAGAAGCAAAGTAGCCTTTTAATTTGTTCAGTTCAACAGGAGACACATAATATCAGACCTCTCATATAATATTCTAGTAAACTATCACTGTTTGCTAGAATATGCTACACAAGGCTTTTAATTTATCCAACTGTTAATCAGATCAGACAAGTTCATGCTCATCCAGTATTAGCAAGATAATGTTCTCTCACTTACCAGAACTACTATTTGTATTTAATGTTTGTATGTGACATGCCAGTCAGGGATCCAAACCTTGTTGTGCTAAATAGTATTCATATGTGAAAAAAGACACGTTATGCTGCAAAGAAATTAAAGTCATAAGGCATGTCAATAGTCATCTGAAGCAGTAGAAGAGGGGGAGTTAGGACAAAAATGAAACAAGTATACTTTTTACAATAAATAGCAGCATCAATACACCCTCGTCGTTATTGAGTGTTTAGTAGGTATCATGACAGCCATATTTTTTTAATGGATTTAAAAAACGCTTTGTGAACTTATGGAGAATTCCACCCATGCACAAGGATCTTTGTGTTCTAGCTACAGCATCTGCAACTGAAGTTTACTGTCAAAGTAACCATTTGCAACAGAACAAGTAACTACCATGGTGAACAGTAACTACCATGAGTAAAAGAACCACTTTTAATGGATATAGAAATTTATTCTTGTATAAACATGAATAACTTGTATAAATTGTATAAACAAGTACTAGATGACTGTGCAGTAACCCTCATTACTGTGCAGTAGCTCCAACAAATGGCTTTTTCGTGACACTGATTGCACTTCAGCCTGAGACTACTGAGCAATAGCGTCATGTCACACTTTCTGCCAAGCAGCGCTACTGTGCAGTGGTAGTCTCAGACTACCTGTGCAGTCAGCATCTCATGTAGATGCAGCCAAAGACCAGCAATGGCTTTCTGATTGAAATGCTTCCTGTTACTCATCATGGTTGTTATCATTATTATAATTAATGATACTATCACTTTTGAATTAATGCCACATATCTTCTGTAGGGGGGCGCGCGCACACACACACACACACACCCACCCACCCACCCACCCCACAGGAAAAACGTGCTTCAAAATAATATTTCTTTAAAATTACCAGAGAATGAAACACAATTAGTACAGAACATTTCTTGCATGAACAACACACTTCCAACAAAGTGGCGCATAAACATCCTCCTTGCAGTTCACTCAGATTAAAGGCACAATGTCACCACACTGTCTCTTGAAGGTTACATGTGGCATTGAAGGCCTTACAACAGATAAAGATATATAATTGACAGTTCCCACATAGGAAAGTTCCAGATAGTGTTTTGACATGCTTTCAGTATAATCAAAAGTAATAACTACAGAAAATATAGAGAATGACTGGCGTTTTAGGAAAGTTAGTAAATACATGTTGCTTTCTGTTTCTTTGATCTCTAACAGGCTGGTTTGTTTTTTTTTTTAATTGTTCGTTTAAATTAAACTGCAGTCTTTACAGTTTATAATAATAACAACAATATCAGGAAAGAAAGAATCTGAATTACCTGCATAGCTGTGAGAATATTGGCTAATGCCTGGCCATATGTGTCATGACAGTGAACAGCAAGAGCAGTCAGTGGGATTTCCTTCATAACAGCTTCCAACATTCTTTTCATACTTCCAGGAGTCCCCACACCAATTGTATCTGCTAGCGAAATCTCATAGCAGCCCATGCTGTACAGTCTTTTAGAGACCTGATTAAAAATAGAAATGCTTACTGAATTGACAAGATACAATAAGAACAAGAAATAATGGTTAAACTATATGGTAAAGATATTTGTATATGTATTGGTGGATCATGAGTTTTTTTATACCAGTCTATTGAGCTAAAATCCTGGTTGATCAGTGGAAACTTCCATTCAAGAGAACTCTGTGCTCACTTCCTTCTCATAATCCTTCTATGATGAATCTATGCATAGAATAACCTTCTAAGCCAAATTCATCATCATCCTTACCCCTCATTTTTTCTTAATCCAAAATTTATATTTATAGATTAAAGTTCTCCTCAGGCCATTCCGCAAATTTTCTACTACTTTGGGGATTTCCTGGCTCTTCCATCTTTGTGTATTCTTTTAGTTGCAAATTCTTCGGGATTAAATATTGCCTTTCTGTTTGCTTACTACACAGCACCAAGCTCATGGTCTTTACTAAGACAAGAAATAACCAATTGAAGCCTTAATTTGCATACCTTTTTATCACTAAAAGCACCAATGAAAATCAAAGTTTTAGCGTTTAGGATGCAGAAGAACCAATCTCTGTACTGTTTGATTATTCAGAAACTACAGGCTTGGAGCATGTAACTGAGTGGTTAGGTCATCTTGCTTTGGATTGAAAGGCATGATTTAGCCCTGCTTCAGTCAATCCAGTTGCAAGTGGGTAACTGACCATTCAGGTAGGGAAACCAAAGGCAACTGGAGGTGAGGCTAACCACATCACTCCCTTGTGTGCCCTTGGCTTGTAGCCTCAAGGATATACGTATAAAAGCAGTAATGGACAAATAAATACAGCCACAGGGTTGTTTGAGGGGAGGAGGGGGGTTGTTTGTTTTGTTTTATTTTTTTACTAAATGGCTTTAAACAATAAACTATAAACTGCAGATATGTGAAGTGGAATTGTTTGGGATATTTTAAGTTAAAATTTCAGAAACTGAAAGGAATTTCTTCCCAAGGTACTGAAGGAACTAAAAGAGGGGATTTTGGAGCCCTTGCCAATATTTACAAACTCATTGGAATAGATTGGAAAAGGGGCAGAAAAGGCAAAAAGGAAGGCCTTCAGTAATTCTCCAGACTTATAGTCACAAAAAAGATTAAAGAAGCTGGGATACGTTTACGGAGGGGATAGCAGTTCTGGCTCTCCAGCTAGGATGCGTGATATGTAGTAAAGGCAGACAAGGTTCCTTGGGTGAATTTGATATCTTTTATTAGACCAACCCAAATAGCTGGAGAATAGTTATTAAGCAAGCTTTCGAGTTCAAAAACCCTTCGTCAGGCTAAGGAAGTTTCAGCAGTTGGTGTGTGCTCTTCCAGCCAAAGCTGGATATTTCAACTAGGGTATGCCAGTCCTGCTAGAACTAAAAAAACCAAGAGGTTCCTGGTTACAGGATATTGTCCCTCATCTCAGGGTCAGACAGGTCATCACGTGTGGGATCAAGAAGGAATTTTACCCCACGGTCAGACTGGCATGGACTGTAGGGGATTTTGCCTTCCCCCCAGTCAGACTGATAGGGATTTTGGGAGGCTTTGCCTACCTGTGTAGCAAGGGGCACGGTCCTTTTCCTTGGATCTCTCAAGTGTATTTTAACAACCACCTTGCAGCAGTAGGATATTGACAGTGCCCTATCCCTCTGTTTCACCTATGGTAGGTAGTTGTACAACAGAGTTATTTGTGTAGTTTTAAGAGTAGGTTAGACCAGGGGTCAACACATGGCAAGCACGGCACAGGAGTCCATTTTGCTCGGCATGCCACTACCAGCTCGGGCTCTAGGCAGCTGCTGCCAGTCATGGAGCCAGGGCTGCTTCCAGCAGGTTGCTGGGAGGCTGCAAGCCCTGCTGCAAGCAGCTCAGGCTCTGTGGCTGGCAATAGCTACCCAGAGCCTGGGCCAGCTGCAGCTGGGAGGCTGCAAACAGCTGCTCCAGGTTCTGGAGCTCTGACATCAGCTCCGTACTTCCGGCAAGTGCACGTGCACCTTGGAGGGACAGTGGGGATAGGGCCTGAGGCAGTGCAACCCTCCCACACTGTCCACTTTCAGGTGTGCATGCAGTCGCTTCCAGCATCAAGCTGATGCCGGGGCTCTAGAGCCCAGTGCAGCTGTTTGCAGCCTACCTGCTGCCTGCTGCAGCTGCCCAGAGCCCAGCTTGGCTACATACAGCTGGACTGGGCTCTGGAGCCCCATCGTCAGCTCTGTGCGGCCTCAGAGGACAGCAGGGGAGAGGCCAGGGTTGCACTACCTCAGGCCCCTCCTGCACCACCTGCTCTGAGGCACACATGCACCCACCAATGTGGAGCTGATGCCAGGGCTCCAGAGCAAGTGCCTCCCAGTGGGACTGGGACAGGAGGCTCCATGCCTCCCAGCGCTGCCACTGCCGCCCACCCACCCCACACAGCTGAGCCCACCCAACTCCCACGCACTCCGAGCCCAGCCCCCCTACCAGGCTGAGGCTAATGCTGCCCGTGCCAGGAGCACTGCATCTTTGCAGGCTTAGCTGTGTGGGGTGGGTGGGTGGTGACAGTGTTAGGAGTGGTAGCGAGAGGAAGGCTAAGGTGAATTTTGGAGTGGGTATAACTTCCCCAAAGCTCCTCTAGTACTGCCCCTGCAGCTGGCTGATGGGTGGGCTCTGGGCTGGGGCCTCGGTGGGCCATGGTGTAGCCCAGGGGCTGGCTCCCTGGGGAAGCCCAGGGGCTGCGGCAGGCCCAGGGCATTGTCCAGTCAGACTTTGTCCGGTGGCCTAGCAACTCAGTTCCATGCACGTGCACACCTGGTTCTATGTGTGGTCTGCCTCTGTTTGGTTCTGTGTATCTGTGTGCGCACATGTGTCTGGTTCTGGGAGTATGTGTGCATGTATCTGTTCAGGGGGTTGGACTCGATGATCTATTGAGGTCCCTTCCGACCCTAACATCTATGAATCTGTTCTGTGTGTGCGTGTGTGTCTGGTTCTCTGTATGTGTGTTTATGTATCGGGTTCCCTCTCCTCTTTTTCTTTCTCTTTGCCTTTCTCTCTCTCTCCTCTTTTTCTCTTCTTTCTGTCTTTTTTCTCTCTCTCATCACAACATGCTTAACAAAAAAGGAATACACAACAACAAAGGTAGTATACTAAGTTTTATTTATTGTCACCAGGTTTCAAATTTTTAGAAAACCTGGTATTTACTATATAAAAAAGACAAGTTTTATGAATTAATATGTAGCATGTCCTGCCATGTACCCCCTTGTCCCTGTTTTCTTTTGCTGGCATGCCTGCACTCTGGCACCTTACAAGGTAGACATTGTGGCTTTTTTGGCATTCTGGCAAAAAACATTGCCTACCCCTGGGTTAGATAAATACTTGTATAAGTGTAATTTTAGCCACAAAGATGGCAGAGCAACACACTGATGTAGATACTGTGAACTACAACACAAATAAAAGTCTACAAGGTCTCTTTTTCCCTTAAAAATAAAGCCCAAATATTGAACTTCTAATAATGAAATGTTGAATAAGTAGTTCTGATTCATATTCATAGTCCCATACGTTTCACTGGAATGAACAAAGCAAGGAGTTCCTTGTGTGATTTGAGGACCAGACCCACATTGCTTTTATGGACCTTTACAACATCTTTGCATGTGTCTTAGAAATGGATTTAAATTGATTTTCAGGTTCTCCAAAGGGTCCCCCCCTCCATTTTTTTTTTTCTTATAACATTCCAAACTGTGGAACAAGCACACCAAAATGGACACACTACTGAAGTGAAATCCAATTTGCAATTCAACTGTTAAAGAATTTCCAAGGCAGTTTAATTTGTACTGAACTCTGTTAAAACAATTCCATGACTCCATCAGCGGGATTGTTATGAATGTCAGAGAAAGCTGACAAAGTGCTACACCACCAGTCCTGGAAGTACTGGAATAATGCCCTTTGCTTAATTCAAAGAACAGATGAAAAAAGTGTATTAAATTATTGTGTTAAAAGCTGGCAAGATTATGAACACTATGACTACTGTCCGTTATTGGCAAGTGTAATAAAACGTTTTGCCTTCAAGAGTCCCTAGTTGAAATCAAAATAGATTTCTCACACAATTGAAAAACGGACATTCATTATACTGGAGCAAGGACTATTTTTCAGTGTGTGTTCACACAACACCAAACATACTGCAGCTACACAATAGACTTTAGCTATAAAAATTACAATTATTCTGCCAGGGTCTTCTGTAGTTAAATCCCAACTCTTTTTTGTAACCATCTCAGCTAATAATTGCAGTGTAACGATTTTCTTCGAACCTTATTTAATTCTCAGTTATAGGAACTGTCTAAGGAAGCACTTTTCTGATGAGAAGAGGAGCAAAGACTACCCCAGCCTTCACTTCCCCTTTATCCTGGACACCATCCATCACTTGGCTAAGCGTTTCTGTCTTCCTGCCTCCCAAAGAGCGATTCCCTGTAATGGAAGGAAAAGGGAAACTTTTGCTTCTGCTTTTGTATGCATCATTATATTGTCCTTGAACATCTATCTATAATTTAGAATTAAATGTCATAAACTGAACTTTGAAGAGCAATGTTTTTTTTAACTACAAAGGAATTTTGCATGCGTGGAAAGCTAAGGAAGAGAATTGCCTCACATTTCCATACTGTTACTAAGTTTTAATTTGCTAAGACAGTGGTTGGCAACCTACGGCCTACGCTCTGAATCCAGCCCGCTAAAGGCTGAATTTGGCCTGAAAGAGGGTGGATCTAACCAAAGAACTTATGATGTGTAGTTGTGCCATGCAAAACCTACTCTCCACAGCATCTAGCAGCATAACAAACCTGCTGGGTGCCCAGCACAGTTGCCATCCCAGGGATAACAGCAACTTTTTTTGGCTGCTGCCACTATGATCATGATCACATGGCTGTGGAAAAAGCCAGACTATTTGCCCTGCAAACCCATCAAGAACTCAGGGTGGTTACCCCCATCATCCTGCCCTAGTTATGCCAAATATACCCACCTCTGCAGCCCTTCCTGCTGTT